AAAAATTGTTGAAACAAAAACCTGAAAAAGTTACCTGGTTGAGTTAAATCAACTAAATATAGTTTGTTGTAACAACTATCTAAGAAGTTTACACAGTTGACTTAATGTTATGAGTTAAATGAATTCAACACAAATTAACATGACAAATGCATTTAAAAAGAAACCTAGAACGTCTGCACAAATAATCTGTAATAACATTTATTATAACTTCATGAAAACATTTTCATTCAAGCAGAAGTAAAGTTATCAATTCAACAAATTCATAATAAAACTCCTTGAAGCAACAGGATACAATTTGTAAATTCGGTCCCACTTTATATTAAATGTCCCTAACTACTATGTACTTATATCAAAACAATAAATACAATGTACATAATGTATTTGAGAACACTTGTGGTGCTTTTGAGTTGGGATAGAGGTTGGGTTATGGACAGGTTTGGTGGCATGGGTAGGTTTAAGGGTAGGTTAAGGTGTAAGGGATGGTCAACAGTGTATTTACAAATGTAATTACAAAAGTTAAATACAGATGTAATTTCATACATGTATTTAATCAAGTATAAGTACACAGTAAATACATGTATTTACACAATAAGTACATTGTAACAAACTATTAGTTCCTATGTAAGTACATATTAGTTAAGGCCACTTAATATAAAGTGGGACCGTAAATTCAAACGCCTCTGAAAAAAAATCACGCCAAAAGTTATAAATCAGTCGTTATAAATAAATTCTCAAATAGCATTAAAATGAACCCTTTGGAATAATTCTTCAACCACGTTCCTGAAGGACCAGCTCTGCACATTTCCCATGTCTCTGTAACCAAACACATTTGATTCAGATCCTCGGCTCATTAGCAGAGACTGAAAGACCTATAATGTGTGTAACAGAGAAAGGAGACATCCAAAACATGCAGTGTTGGTGGTCCTCCAGGAACGTGGTTGAGAAACACTGTGCTAAAATACAACTGAATGGTTATTTTCAAATCCGGTCAACATTCAGAATGTTGATTAGACAAAACATAAGTGCAGACAATATTATAATATGTCTAATAAAGTCAAGTTTTGAGCCAATTTAATTAGTTTTTTTTTTTTTTTTTTGGTAAAAGAGAAACTGGGTAGACAATACAAGGAAGTAAATATGAAATAAGTATTAATAGAAACCGCTTGAATTTTTTTTTTACAGTGTAGTTAAAACAATAATGAATTAAATTGTGCTTTGCTTTATTATATGATTTAACACATAAGTGTATTAAAATGACAAGTAAGCATACATCTTTCCATAAGGGTTGTTATTTTTTTACTAAGGTGTACAAGATGAAGGCCTGGTTTTGGAAAAGTGGAACATTTTTTTTTTTTTTACCATTAGATTCGAGCCCAGTCAGGATGCTGTTTACTGGGTCTCAGCTGATAGATGGGGGAAATGTGCAAAGCAACACCATTCCCTCAAATTATAAGCCATTAAGGAGCTGCTTCAATTTCACCCTCCTAATTTAATGAGGGGGACTAATGACACTGCAGAATAGGATAGAGGACTCTGTCTGGTTCAGATACAACAACTGGAGCTGGAAGTGTTTAAAGTAATTTGGCATTGAACATGTTGAGTGAATTAAATCCACTTTTTTTTAATAAAAAATATATATATATTGCACTACCCCTGCAGATGAAATCGGGATTTAAATACCATGGGATGAATAGAGAAAATGCCTTTTCACCCTCAGATTTAGCACATTTTATTTACAACTCTAATGTGAATAGAAAATAATACAATTTTAATGACAAAAAAGTATTAGCATTTTGTTTTATTGCTGTAATAAAAGCTGCTTCAGACATTTGTTTAAAGCCGGATGAAACTCCATATGGACATGATAATTTTCCAGAAAACATTTACAATAGAGATACAAAAGCAAAACAACAACCTACAATTTTGTAATTATTTAGCCCTGTTTTGTTCGTCATATTGGAAATAAGATTCAGGTCCTAATAGGAATAAGAACAGTTACATATTTTCTGAATCACAGAATAAAAAACTTAGATTCAAGAGTTCACACTTAACTGCTGATTGATTATAAAGCTTGTTTGGCATGCTGTCCGAGGAGATAGCCCTGAGCTCATAAGATCCTCAAGCCCAGGGCTCCCTCCCATTTGCAAGGCGAGAGGGGAGTTTGAGCTCAGGTAGATCTCAAGAACTCTCCTGCTGTAGGGATTCTTCAAAACGAAGATGGCTGTTATATGGAACTTAGGGTATTTATAGTGGCTTAGGAATCGTCTGATTGGTGAATCATAAATTGAATAATGCGGGACCAGCCACAAGAAATCATAAGTATGTGATCCTCTCGAAATTAGAGTCCTGACTTAAACCTAATTGAAATTCTCTGTATTTTCCTTGCCGACAAAGTTATGGCTAAGAATTCTACTGCAGCCAAGGAAGGAGATTAGAAGAACAGCAGATCAAGATCGAACAGATCTGTGTTTAGAGATTGTGATGTCCTGTGGCTTCAGATGTGCTGGAATCATTCAAAGCAAGTGCATTCCGATTCATTTTTGACTGTCGTAATCTTGAAAACTTTTAGGTGTTACCTTTCTTCAAGCTAAAATTATTGCTGTTCTCTAATTTCAACCACTGTGTTTCCACAAAAGAAGGGTATTTTCTTAAAGTGCCTTGGTTATTTTGTAAAGCAAATTTTGTTCCACTGGCATGGTATAGCCAACATTCAAAATTCTTTATAACAATGCAACAGTGACTAATTAACTTAACTTTTAAATTCTGCAATCATTTTATTTTAAATGCACAAGCAAGTAAAACAATAACATTCTATATGAATATTCCAAAAATATCACAGCACTGGGCGAGGCAGTGGCGCAGTAGGTAGTGCTGTCGCCTCACAGCAAGAAGGTCGCTGGTTCGAACCTCGGCTCAGTTGCCGTTTCTGTGTGGAGTTTGCATGTTCTCCCTGCCTTTGCGTGGGTTTCCTCCGGGTGCTCCGGTTTCCCCCACAGTCCAAAGACATGCGGTACAGGTGAATTGGGTAGGCTAAATTGTCCGTAGTAAGTGTGTGTGTCAATGTGTGTGTGGATGTTTCCCAGAGATGGGTTGCGGCTGGAAGGGCATCCGCTGCGTAAAAACTTGCTTGATAAGTTGGCGGTTCATTCTGCTGTGGTGACCTCAGATTAATAAGGTGACTAAGCCGACAAGAAAATGAATGAATAAATGAATATCACAGCACAAGAGACTACCGACGCATAAATGTAGGGATAATTATCCCGGACGAGCCCCCGTTAAATGTTACAAAATCTGGGTTTGATTTAAAAAAATAAATTGCAAAAGTACAGCTTGTACAAGTGGTTAAAATAGAGTTTTTTTTCTTAAGAAAAGAAAAAACAGCAACAAGGTTAGACTTTACAATCAGCTATGAGCAAACAAAGGAGGAATGCCCAATTAAACGCTGTCATGCCTATAAATGCAGGAGACTTAATTGTCAGTGAGGGCAGTGACTTCACATAGGTTAATGACAACAGACAGCTGCCCAGACGTATAGCAATCCAGAGGGGTTGAGGCTAGGATACAACTAAAACTAATTTTAGTGCCAATGGGTTATCAACCTGAAGTAAATCAACATTAATATGATTTAACGGCTTGTCATTTTTGATCAGGTAGCCTTGTTACCAAACTGATGTGGTATGGCTGGTGTAAGGTGATGATGCATCATGTCATCAACTTCCAGAGCCAAATGATACCAATGATTTCAAAGTGGTGTAGTTTTGAACAAAATCCAATGAACCAAAGATTCATTTCACTTCGTTTTGGCAGTTCAGAACAGTTGAAGGGAGTTCATTTTGACTTTGTAAACACCATTGCAAACATCCCAAGTCTCCTAAAAGTTCAGGGAGTCTCCCGCAAATGGATAGAGACTTCCAGATGCCCGCAAACGAATGATTATCTCCTGAAAGTCACGCGACTCCTGCCCAGTCCTTAAATGGTCTTCACTGCATCCCTTCTAGCTCTTCAGGTACATCGGATATGTCGGATGTCGCGTGCACTGTCTAAATATAGGCTAGAGCGTATGAAAGATTGTTTTTTGTTTTGTTGTTTTTATTATAACAGCTCACATCACAGTTTTTAAATTGTGTATTATTACATGTTTTTAAACGTAAGTGCTTCTATTTATATTAGTGAGACTTTGGTATAATGCAGATATGGGTAACGGGCGGTCAAATGAGAAGTTGGGGGGACGTGGTTGATTTGGCGTAAAAGCGTATGGTTGGAGGCTTGTTTCCGCGACTCCTTCTGGTAGTCCTTTCTGCGCATGCCCAGGCTACAATTTCAGCAGTGTTTTGCGACAGTTTGTGCCCGTCGTGAGGCATTTTGCTTTCAAACATTCAATTGGAAAAGGCACTATTGCGTCATCCATATTATTTACAGTCATTGGAGTAAACCCGTTGACTTAATTTTTATAATAATGCATGCAATTCATTTACTTAATAATTTTAAGTCAACGTTATTACAAGCTACAATAGATTTACTCGCAGTTCTAAGTGCAAACACTAAATTTCAAATTTCACCTCTCCTGCTGTGCATGAGCTAAGCTGTTGAATGGTCAGCGTAGGCTAGGCTAACAATTTTGATTAAATTATTTTTTAATCGGTTGCGTATTAAGCCGTGAATATACCCCTGTAATGCATACTGCAGTCCTTATTTGTCTGGCTTTCTCAGATATCTCACCTGTTCACCAAAAATTACTAATTATATCCCCGGCAATGTCTGACACCGGCGCATACATATTGTAATAGACGTGCCAGGCACAAAAGCTTGACAGGTATAACAACAGTAACTAAGAAGGGCGAGGCTTAGTGAAGGGTCAATTTGGCAAATCATTTTATAACAGTGGTTTGTTCAGTACCATCAAAAAAATTGCTTAAGGGGGCTAATAATATTGACCTTACAGTTAAGCTGTAAGTGATCTTACTTCAAAATAAATAAGTACAGGACAGAGCATGATTAAATAAGCGGTTCGATTTGTTTTATTTTATTTGATTTTATTTACAAGAACACTTTAACAATACATCAAGTGCTACTTCAAACTACAGCGAGTAAATAATCGTTCGGTTCTTCAGTTGCTCCACGTACTCTTTGGCCTGGTCGAATCCGGTCTTGGTCTGCATTTGTGGCGGGACCCCCTCAACGAGCTTCACAAAATAATGGCAGTACACTTTTTCCATGATGCCAAACATACCACGTCCATGATAGCGAATCCGCTTCAGGTATTTTCCCTTGCCAGAGTACGACTCAGCTGTTGAAGTCAGAAAAAAGAATTGTTAGAATAGTTTAGCATGGAGTCCAAAATTTCCAGATTACACTCTAAGGAAAATAAAGCATTATATCAGCAAAATGAAACACAAATAATCTTGCATTATAATACAACATAACACACTGGGTTGAAACCCAATTAATTAATAAAACCTTTTAATTAAACGTTTAGTTTGAGTCTTTATCGAAAAACATCAATACTTTTTTCCCTTTAACAAAATGTTTTTTTTCTGAGATAAAAACTAACTACCTGTCGACAAATTGAATTGTTAATTATTTCTGGCCTACAGGAATGTGTAAGTTCTATGGGCTTTTGTTGAAAGATGAAAGATTCTTATGAAAGCACCTTTTGTTTAAAAAAAAATAATAAATAGAAGTTTGCATAACAGACTTAAAATATGAGGTTTAAAGCCAATTAATCAATAAAGCCTTTAAACGAAATAATGTTTAATTTTGTCAGGGTTCTGCCACTCTGGGGCCTCATGTATCAACGCTGCGTACGCACAAAAACTTTGCGTACGCCAGATTTCACGCTCAGAATCGCTCACGTTTGGATTTACTAACAATGAACTGAACGTGGGAATGTGCGCAGGTTCACGGCAGGTTTCTGGCAGGCGTACGCACATTTTTTGTGCGTGTCTGTTTTATTTCCATTGGCGACTCCTAGAGGCAGTTGTGTTAAATTCTTCTCTACAAAGTGTCTGATCCTTGCAATGGCAGCTGTATGAGACGGGTACATATAGTAGGTATGTAAGATTTCCATACCACACAGTTGACCAGCTAAACATTAAAGCACAATTTGCAGCGGTCGCCTGTTTTCCCAATGTAATCTGAGCTATCTACTGCAAACACATTGCTATAAAGACACTATCTGAAGATGAATTTGCATACGTGAATCAGAAACATTTCCATTCAATAAATGTGCAAATAAAATATGATGCACAAACTTATTGATGATTCCTACTTGTCTTTCTCGTGATAAATAGTGGGCAAAATCTGATATGTAGCGGGGAAAAAAAGAAGAAAGAGTTTATCAGACGCTGGATTCGAGCCGAGTTTATGCTCAAGCGTGTCAGTACAAGATCACATGCTTCTTATGAGGTGCGCCACTGAGACTGCTAAGGGCACTGCAACATTTTTCAGTTATAAACCACACTATTTCTGTTTTAAATGCACTCAGTGCGATGTTCAGACCCAACTGTGTTAACCGTATCAGCTAAACTCTCCCACTCTATTTTTTTCTTTTGTTGTTAATTCCGGAGAACAAACTTGCAAATAACACCGCTTTTCTCCGGTCTACCTCCGAAAGCAGCACCTCCATTTCACATTCTGTTCAAAGTTTCTCTTTTTGCTTGATTTTGCCATTGCTTTTTCGTTGGGTTTTGCCATTAGCATAGTCATTAGCATATTCATACGGGGGAGGAGGCAGGGAGGGGTTTTGTGCTCGTGCATGTTGCGCTCAGTTTCACGTTCATTCAGATGTACAAAAGAATATGCGTGAGATTCGGCGTACGCAGTGTTTCATACATCTGAATTTTTTTCTGCGTACGCACATTTACAGCTTTGTGCGTACGCAATGTTTTAGTAAGATTTCCACGCAAGTCTTCGTACATGAGGCCCCTGGTCTTTTAAATTCTTGTTTTGGTGGCAGAGCTCTGACACTAGCTCAGTCTCGTTCTGTTTCTGTCATTGTGTGTCTCTGTGTGTGCGCGCTCTGTTGTGGGTGTACACAGAGTATGCGGCTGTGCGGTCTTTGTGTGCCTCAGACGCGCACGCTCTTGTACTCGTGTTTGTGTTTTCGTCTGTCTGCAGCGTGGAGTTCCATTCCCAGCATCTCAATCCAGTTGGTTTCGGTTTTGGTCGGCGCTGGGATGAAACATGCACGCTGCGTGTGTGAGCGCCTGGTGAGTGTTGTCATTCATCGTGTGCTTGCGTCTGTCAAAGCACGTGGCTATGTGTTTACATTGTGGTCACGTGCTTTTGTCTTGTGCTTCAGTGTTGTGTTTGTGTTGTCATGAACATGCGGTTAATGAGTTCTCTCATTGGCTGCATGTTCTTGTCCTGTTTTATGTGAGCGCATGGCTTGTGTTGTCTCTCTGTGTCATGCGCTCTCCCGTCTATTGTCTTGTCCCACCCTTCTTGTTAACCCATTACTAGTTAATTGTGTTCACCTGTTTGTGTGTTAATTTTCTACAGTTTATAAACCCCTCACATTTGCTGTCCTGTGCCAGTTCGTCATCACATGTTGTTTGAACCCTTGTCCTGTCGTGTTTCCAGTCCTGTTCCTTACCAGCCAGCCCAGTGAAGTTTGTTTGTGTATGTATTTGTTTTGTTAATGTTTTCCCCCTTGGGGTAGTTTATTTTGCATTTTATTTTATGTTTATTATTTAATAAATTCCCCATTTTCCTGCACTTGAGTCCTCGCTCCTTTTTCCCCATTTACCCATCCACAACCCTGACAAATTTAGGTCTTTATCCAACAAATCATTTAACAAACAGCAAAACAATCAATACTTTTTTCCCAACAAAATGTTTTTTTCTGGTTTCTACGTCAAAACCTTCTCCACCAATCAGATTGGCACTTTTGTTCACGTGCACAGAGCTGCTGAAGTTACAGTAAACAGCACTGGGAGGCGCTGAAGCTCAACATTGTCAATGTGAGCGCACACTGAAGAAGATGCCCAGAAGCGATATGAACGTGGAGCTGTTAATTGCACCGGTGAACAATGATCATTTCTTCATCGCTGGAGCTGGAGCTGCAGCTTGAACCATCCATGCTTGTTCGAATCGCCAGTAATTTTAACAACAATGAAGAGCATAGAATCACTAGCTGCGTCCCAAATGGCACACTATAGACTCATGCACTATGTACTTATGCACTTACACACTCAACAGCATAGTATATGTATGTAGTGGCGTCCCAAATGGCACACTAATGTTTTTTTACTAAGCGGAAATTCAAACCGTTTCCCTTATGACGTTTGGCGGTTGCCAAATCAGTGAAATAAACGACCGAATTATCAAATAATACCTGCCGTGAGTATTGCCGCATTCACCATCAGGAGGCGCTATAATCACTCTCGTAGGAGAATTTTGCTTTCACGATCCAAAATAAATAAAGTTATTCAACATGTGCTTCCGATAGCTCCGCCCCTTCCGCTGCGTAGGCAAACCTGCGGTCGTTGAGTGCGTGAAGTGTCCATTATTACACACTTCATTTTAGCGGCTGAATGAGTGCATCATCCAGGTAATTAAAGAGCACTTATTATTTTTAAAGTTTTCAGTGTGAACACACTACTTACACTATTTATACTACAAAATGGCGGAGAATAGTGCATAAGTATGCGATTTGGGACGCAGCGACTGACTCTAAGCTCTTTGACAACAATCATGTCAACTTTGTCTTCTTCTGTCACAGGCGGGTGTCAAAAGCTTAAAGTTGTGTTGCGCCACCTAACATCAAGGAGTGATTTTGCATACTCTTCTGCTTGACACCAGTAAAAATCGCTTGGGTTTGAATGTGGAAAAATGTTGCAAAAAATGGTGACGATAAACACAAAAGATTGTGTACGAGCCTTTAGATTTTCCCCTTTTGCTGTCTGTTTTGTCTATTCTTTTCACTACGTGGGAAGAGCGTCACATCACTTTCCCGTGTTTGTTGCAAATTATGCGACATCACACGGACGGAGGAGCTTGGCCAGATGAGCCCCAACCTGAACCAGTCATGTGAATTGAGCACACCGTTCTTAATATTAGGAGAAATATAAATATATTTATACTTTTTTCGAGTCAAACACTTTGAACAATGCTTGAACAAAATTTAAGACCTTGTAAAACGCGATTAAGACATTTTAATAAGGATGCACTGATCCTGATACTTGGATATCAGTCCGATATTGCATATTTTTACTGGATCGGGTATCAGCCAGCTGGTACCGATCCAAATCCAATCTTGCGCATGTGCTATATTCTGTGTTCATAAGCCAACTAAGCCATGAAGGTAGCCTATTATTAGGCACTAGAAAGTTGTTGGCCCACTATATTCCAAATGTTCTGAAACCATTCTACAGTTTAACGTGAAGTACAGATGAATATTAAACTCATGTTCACTTCACTATTGTAAAGACAATAAAAAATACTAATGTGGATGTAATTTTTGCAACTTACCAATATATAGATTTGACTTGTATTCCACATTGTGATTCCTGACTGCCATGTCCTGAGCTTCCAAAAGAACCTGACACAAACAAATAAATGCAAAAATAACTTACTGTAACTTCTAAACCTGACTTAAGTGTGGCACAGCTAAACATTTATCCATTTTTACAAAAGGCACACTAAAATTCTCCAATAGTTAGAATGTAAAAATGTGAATGTGAAGTGCTTTGAAATGTTTGATGCAAACTCATCTGAAACACGAGGAGAGATAGAGTATCCCCTCCCCTTTTTAAAAACAGCCAAAAGCATTTAATTTTCAATCACAGCTCAGCCAGTGTGAGTGGCTGAGCTCAAGCGCATCAAATGAAAAGCATCCTGAAGGGGTGGGGCATTTTAGATACTAAAGAGCATTTGATTGGTCAGAGGATTTTATGTCTTTATGTGAAAAGAAAAAAGTTGATCCATTTAGGCGTAAGCGCCAAACTGCAAACATTGGAAGTTCAAGTTTATATTAGTTTTATGTCTTCTAAATGCAGATTGTGTTACGGTTTTGTAGCACACTAGCAAACAGACATCCTTAAAACTTACAGTACTCTCACTATCATCTAAAAAAACATTCATTTCAATTTGACAGGACCTTTAATAGTAAAAAATCTGGCTTCAACAAGAATCATCTGATGATCGATATTAATACATTTTATTTAAGGATCACATTGCAGTCCCAAAAAAACCTATAAACTTAATTAAAAGAATTAAAAATTATCAGTCCTTTAAAAGCTTTATTCTTTTCCACTATCCTTCAAATGATAGGTTTGACCTATTTGACAGCAATACATCATATTTTAATATTTACAAAATCATAAAATTTAGGTAACTTAAGTGGAGGTCAGGATATATTTCATTACTACTTTGATATATTGGTCTTGAGATGATTGACGATGGAACATTAATTCATCTATATTTTAATATTTAGATCTTCATTTGGGTTAAATACGCTTTATACTTGGGCGACACGGTGGAGCAGTGGGTAGCACAATTGCGTCACAGCAAAAAGGTCGCTGGTTTGAGCCTCGGCTCTAGGCATTTCTGTGTGGAGTTTGCATGTTCTCCCCTTGTTTGAATGGGTTTTATCCAGGAGCTCTGCTTTCCCCCACAGTCCAAAGACGTGGTATAGGTGAATTGGGTGGTCTAAATTGTCTATAGTGTATATGTGTGAATGGGTGTATATGGATGTATCCCAGTGATGTGTTGCAGCTGGAAGAGCATCCGCAGCGTAAAACATATGTTGGATAAGTTGGCGGTTCATTCTGCTGTGGCGTCCCCAGATTAATAAAGGGACTAACATGAAAAGAAAATGAATGCTTTATATTTGTCAAATCAGATTTAGTTTTTTTACCTCTCTGATTATTTTAGCTCCCTTCTTGTCATTGAACTCAAGCTGAACAAGTGCCTGGTCAATGGTCATACCTCTGATCTGAAAAACAGATTGATCACATATGAGACAGGCTGCTAATTCAATCTTCACATTACCAAGTGACAGTCATTGTACAAATATTTATCACTCACCAATTTAGCCAAGTACCACATCTTGTCTTTACTGTATTTAATCTGCCGTCTGGAGTGACAGATCTCCTAAAACACACAAACAAAAACACAAGGCCATTTTATTACAATTTAACCAAGTAATCAACTTATATTTTATAAACACTTCACCTTTTTATGAAAGAGATGCATTTTACAGTGTCCCTAGAGTAGAACAGTTGAGTTTTACCATTTGTGAATCTATTCAGTCAATCTTTGGGTCTAACAGGAGTACTTTTAGATTAGCTTAGCATTGCATAGACCATTCAATCTAATTAGCAACTCACTCAAAAACTCATTGTAATGAGCGCACTCATGGCGCACTCACACTATGCTATCCGAACCGTGCCCAGGCCCATTTCCCGGATCGTTTGAGAAGTGTGAGTGTGCTGAATCAGGCTCAGGCACGGTTCACTTGGCCGGCCCTGGCATGGTTGGAAGAGGTATGCCTGAGCACGGTTCACAAGGCTTTGACGCAGTACGCTTGTATGTGAGTGCAAAACGCGCCAAAGCCCAAAACTGAAAGCGAGACGTGACTTTTAAGGGAGTTTCATATGGATTTATTAATCATTCTTACTGTTCAGTGAACGCAAACTGCCGTAGTTTATTAAAGACGCAGACACCTCACAGCACAACAGCTGCGCACCTTCAGCAAACCTCCCTATTCCTGCAGCATGAGGGTTTTATGATTGTTTATAAGCGTCAAAAGTTGTGGATCTGTTGGGCGAAATATCTGGCTGCGTGTCACCGCATCCCTAAAGCCTGGTTTATACTTCTGCGTCAAGTGACCTGCATGACCCACGGCGCATGCAACGCGCTTAGCTGTGCATTTATACTTCTGCGTGCTGTCTCTGTTGGTCTGCATTAACACTTCTGAAACGCTAGTTGGCAGTGAGGTGTAAATGTTCCTCTGTGTCGAGTTTCTTCTCTGTTGTTTTGCTTTTCCTGAACACTTCCTGGATGTACAAGTGGCTCAAACTCGCTCATTTTGAGGCAGGAACCGGCGGACGTGCAACAACTTTAACTATGAGGTAAACACAAAACAAAACTTTCCATCAGGAGCTCCTTCACGGGACTCCACACTTGTAAACAATCATAGGGCTCGCGTCCAGCTCGCGCCATTCGCGCGGCTCTCGGTCCCGCCCAGACTCGTCAGCGCTACCAAGCCGACCAATCACAGAGCTTGCGCTACGCGTCGTTGCGACATGTAGTTACAATTTTTGAGAGGTGCACGTCAGCGACGCCGACGGCCACGGCGAAGGGCTATGCGTCAGCGCCGTAGCATACGCCGTAGCATACGCCGCCGTTTGACGCAGAACTATAAATCAGCTTAAGGATAAATCACCTTAAGGACTGTTTGGCAAAATATTTGACTGCGTGTCACTGCATATCAAATGACTAAAATGAACTAGAGAAATCTCCACTGTGCTGAGCGAGAGTGCTCACTAAACAGCGCAGCATCGATGACGTAAGCGTGCCCAGGCCCGATTGTAATGCGATTGTAATGCGAGATTGTAAGCGAGCTAAGGCTTAAATCTGTTAGTGTACAGTGTTTAAAACTGTTGATTCATCTATAAAAGAGTCGACTCATAGTGCTTCAAAAGAGTCCCCTTGATACCGATTCATTAGGTGTTTCGCCATGACGTACGAACGAAACCAAGTTATTCACGTGCACGCGCAAACCCGGGAGATTTCAAACCTGAGGCCCCGCCCTCTGACGCTGAAACCCAGACACACACACACACACGCCGGTAGATTGAAGTCACACTGCAGATGGATATATTAAGTCTCTACCCAAAGATGAAACCTCAGCATTATAACCAAGCAGTTGGAAACTACTGGAAACTTCTGGAAACTACATGCTACAAAGAATACTTCATCAGCGTTTGTTAAAGGAAGGATCAGTAAAGAGTAACTTACTGATGGACGTCAGGATGGATTTTTCTTCCTCCATTTCTCAAGTGTAAGTACGTGCAATTAAAGTTGCCTCGTTGACTCTAGCTTGCAAATGTATTTAGTTGTGATTTGTTACTTGTAACCGCGTGTACTGTATCAGGTTAACTGGCTATATTCTCTTATCGCGTGCAAAGTCACGTTAAAAACGCGACGCGTGCTGCTTTGTTAACGGAGCTCCGTGGACGAGAAGTAGTGTGTGTGTTTGTGTGTGTGTGTGCGTGTGCGCGCGCGCGCGCGCGCGCGTTGTCGTCCGGAGCAGGGTTAAGTGCGTGTGTGTGTGCGTGCGTGTGCGTGCGTGTGTGTGTGTGTGTGTGTGTGTGTGTGTGTGTGTGTCTGTGTCTGTGAAAAGAGCAGAGTGAGAAGCTTGGAGATCTCCTCAACTGTTTTTGGAGTTTTTGCTCAATAAAATAGTTAGTTGTCTGAATTTTCAAGTTCATATTCTGTGTTTACATTGACCCACTGGCAGCTAAACTCCACGCTTACACTCTCGAGCGTGTATGAACTGTGATTACTTTTATATTGCTGATTAGCTGTTTGGCATTTCACTCTGACTGAAGGCAGTCGACCAATCTCAACAGGCTGTCATTGGTCCAATCAGCGCAGATTAGCTTCGCGCTAAGGAGGGGTTTGGAAACAAATGAATCACTGGACGATTCATACAGGAGTCGCTGGGATAATTAGGTAAAAATAAATGCAGATTATAAGACCATGAAAGTGTTTTTTGACCTTGCATGCATATTAAACTGTTGTTGGAGACCCTTACAACCAAGATATGACCCTATTTCATGTATAATATGGGCTCTTTAAATAAAATAAAAAAGTGTGTGACTAACTTCAGCTCAATTGTTTACTCTGGCTAAATAAGAATGAAATAAATTAAGAAAGGATAATGCAGAATTCTGTTAACCTGAGTTTAAAATAACACAGGTTTCATTTTCATGAGAGAGTGACGCTGTTCTGAATGAAATGTATTACTAACTGCTGGTCTGCGTGGTTCATCTTTCTGCTGTGGTGGATACACGATCCGATTCCTCCTTTCCCAGTTTTTGTTGTTTAACTCAGAGCTTGTGTGAAGACATGACACCTGGGAAAATGTAGACGAAGATCCAAGCAACCTAAAACAGACAGATCAATTGATGATGAGCTTTGCTTCCAAAGTGAACATCAGACAGCACTTCTGATACCTAGAAATGCTGTTAATTTCAGTAGTCAAGTGTGTTTTGATACACGGTTGATTGGATGAGTTGACTAGATTGCAGTCAGTGTCCTTTATGCTGCACAACAACTGCATGCGTTTTCTTACCTAGAGCGAATATGTCCACAAGCACGACCAATGGCGGCTAAACCTGTCAGGGATGTTCATATAATCGTCAGTTAAAACCAAGCAAGCCAAATTGCATGTGGAAATATAAATTATTAGAAACTATATTAGATTTGACTCACCAGTCCATGTCACCGTGGAGGCCGCCATGTTGATTAATACCGATGTCCGAATCGTTCTATTGATTCGGAACGTTTTAGTGAGTCGGTTGAACTCACGCCTCCGCTGAAAAAAACATTCAACGCTTCAGTTGCCTTCCATGACGCTTTATTATGTGAATTTGCATGCAGAAATAATGTTAAAATACATTTCTCAAACATTTCTTAGCGTGATATAAAAATACGCCAAATTATGTCAGAAACCGGTTCTTTAAAACAAAAGAATCGATTCTCAGATTTGAATCATTCTACTGATGTTACGACGCTCTGCTTTACGGCGTATGTCTCTTTTAGTGTTTACAATTTTACGTTTACTATTATCATTAAGGTTGTTCCAACTAAACTATTACAATTACAAATCAGGTCTACGAATATTTCCGTCAACATATATAACAAATACGCTGGTCTTAATCAAAGAATTGACTTACTCATAGCACGGTCCCTTCTCGCGTTCCGTAAAATGTTTTACAACACACGCAGTCGATTTTCGGCAGCCGGTGTGTTTTCGGCAGCATGAGTACA